TTCCTCAGTCTTGCCCTCGTGACCAATCCACTTTAACAAGTGCTTCCATGTTATATTAGTTGAATTATTTACTAGATGAAAGACATTTGCTTCGTGTGGGGATGGTGGTGGTTGTAGAGGCTTCCAATAAGTCTTTTGACAAGCAATTTCAATCACAGCTGCAGCTGCAGTATTGACTGGAAGCCAGGAAAGTGGAATGTCGAGTTCTGGGAGAGAGTTTAGACATTCAGGGCCCCCAGTGCTTAGCATCAGTGGCCATGCTTCCTTTTCGTTCCAGCTTCCATTGAAAGTGTTTCCTGATAGTTGACCAATCCTCACAATACTAATATTTGCTCTTGTCATATTACATGCTGAAGAGCAGATCGCTTCAGCAACCCACTTACTCTTCGAGTAACCCAACGGGCCAGCATCCAAAGGATTGCAATTTATAGTTTCTATAATTTTGAAGTCCTCCTCTTTATAGATTTTAGTGTTAGCCACGCTTGCAGTAGATGAACAGAAGACAAGATGCTTCGGTGCTTCCCCAGATAGGGAGAAATTGATCAAGTTGCGAAGTCCTTGAAACTGCTCGGTGAAATCTTTCAAGGGAATAGAGAAATTAACCTCCCAGGCTGCCTGTAATCTAGCATCAGTATGTATCAATCATGATTGTTGACTGGGGAAAGTTACATGAATGATTGTGGTAGCATTTTGACGAAGATCTTCCAATACATCTCTTGAGAGGCCTAATTCAATTTGATCTAATTTCACAGCTCTGCATTCGATATTTGAGGCAGTGAATTCCAAGTTTTCGGGATAATGAGACTGTAACGCCCGTTCTACTCTCTCACGAGCTTGTTCGTCATTCTTGGCTCGAACGAAGCAAACGATCCGAAGTGCCTCATGACTTGTAGTCATATATTGCAACAATTCGACTATATTCACACCGAGAGTACCAGTGACTCCAGTTACAATCTGTGTCATTCGTTAAAACATTCCTCTTAGAGGCATTGTGTATGCCATATACACCAATTGATTCAACACTTACTATGGTTTCTTTGTCAGGTGTGTTACATGATTCTGTTTCGTCCTTGAATGATTTACTATAGTGTTCAACAATGCTGTTCATCTGATGCGCTTCATTTTTCTCATTCTCGGGAATGGATCCGTTCTGAGAGGCTTTGATGTATTCGGTAAGCCTAGTTCACGTTGTCAGTCTCTTACTGCAGTAGATAAATTTTACCATCTCGGAGTCTTGAGTATACAATAAATGATATATGAGAAGAACATTTGACAAAATCAATGCCTTGTATCATTAATGATCGAGTACTTACGCTGTGACACTACCACATTGGTAGACTAAGTTCCAAGGAAAGGGTTTAGATCCGCGAAGGAATGCCTGCAGATTCATCAGCGTGAAGATATTAACTTCAAGAATAAAATTTAGTTACCAAATTGAGATGTGATCGAATCCGCGTCGCCTGAACAGAATCGATTTGATGAGCCCGAAAGTCGGAGTCATATTTCAGGTCTATTGGAGCGCCAATGGCTGTTTTGACAACTTCCATTACACTTTCTAATGAAACTTTACTGTTGAGCGCTGACGCATCGCCATCATAAGCACTTTTGATATCGGAATCATAGTGCATGTTGGCGCTTTGCCTCTTTGTAGTTCCCTTGGCGGTCTTTTCCAAAAAATCGGTGTGTGGCTTCAAGACTAACATATCTTTGTAGATTTTTGCATGGGGTGGAACCATTTCGTTCACGTCCTCGACATACGGCCAAATAATGTCCCTGAACTCATCATCGCTGAAATTACTTGTAGCGTTTTGAGACTTGATGATTATTACTCCAGGGTACATTTGACCATTTCCGAAGACAAACGCATCTTTTATATCTGGAAACCTCTTCAACGCTTCTTCGGTGTAAATAGGATCGAATTTCTTCCCAGTAGAAAGAGTGATTTGGGCATCACCTCTACCAACATGCTTCCATGCATTCTTTATAGAAGGATGTGGCTCAAATAAATCACTTGTTGCGAAGCATCCATCCTCTCGATTTGCCTTTGGAAATTGTGGCCAGTCACTCATTACCACCAGTTCAAATCTATTAGAACCATCATTTAATGGTTCAAACTTGAGGGAATTAACACCTTCCGGAGCTCTGAAATATTGCCACTCTTTGTCGGTTTTGTAATCTCGGTGAGTCGAGAGAAGAAATGAGCATTCTGCACTACCATAACGAGAAACAAGATTGATTCCTTCCGAGATGAGCAGTTTTCCGTCTTCTTCTGGCAAACTAGCGCCACCTACACCCACGATATCCATTGTACGAAGAAATTCAAGTCCTCTAGATGTCGTAGAAAGCATTTGTGCTATTGTCGGGACACAAGAGAAGTATATTGACTTTGGAAGTTGATTGGACAATCTACGCGTAAGCGATTTGGACCTGTGTCGTGTTCCGAATTCGTGCAATCTACGAATAGATGATTCATACTTCTCTTTTATTTGCGAGAAACAATTAATGATTGTCTCCGAAGTAAGTGGGTGCTGGCCATCAGGGGCAAGACAGATTGTTGATAAACTCGTCCAAGCACGCAAACAATCTGCAATACCGCCGGTGTATAGAGGTGTTGTGGTAAATGACAATGTTCCGCGACCATCCAAAATTGGCAGAACTCCGCATGCAACATGGTGAGTGTAGGGAACGGGCTTCGGAAGGCCAGAGGTGCCAGATGTATGATGATTGTAAGCTGGGGTTTTACCCGTGACCTTATACGATGGAATAAGTGATGGAACTCTCTCGACATGTGATGTTAATTCCATAGTAGATTTCCTTGAATACCCCCGCATCTGAAGTGGAGTGTTGCGTGAGATCTTCTCGAGTTTCTGGATTTCCACATACTGTTGTCGGAGATCAACGTCGTAAAATACAATATCGATATCGCATTGGTTGCAAAGATGCTGGACAGCTTCCGAGCTAAGTGATGGCCTATATTGTGTCAGTATGAACGGATGATATCAGTTCCAGAATTCAATTCATCATTTGATGGTTTAGTTCTTCAACGAAATTTTGAAATTTGGACTGCTTTCAAATATTGAACTTTCCATCCAGTCTACAGCAAAATGCCCCGCCAAAAAGAAGGGCTCAAGCCTGGAGATATTTGCAACTTACACCATGACCATAACGGATACTCCCAATCGCATTAATGCTAGCCACCTGAATAGAAAAGCCAAATCACTTCTACCCATGAGACCGACACACTTGGTGCGTGTTGAATCTCTTGCAGTCGTATTGTCAAATGGAAGAAGCTCCTCGGAAGATGCTAATTTGTGGGACAATCTCAATGAACCATCTCGAAGTTCCTGGAAATTATAAAGATGGACCTTCCATTCTGTACGAGCCAATTCAGTACCAGCGCCATTAACTCCATTGCCATTCGAAACTTGTATTGAATTCCTTTCTGGTGAGATATGTCTTGTGCCTTTTCTTCCATCATTGGAAGACGGAGAACTGGAGAATGAAGATGCTCCTTGACCATTCAATACTCGTTTGGTACCATAATATGATCCATTGTTTGAGTTGTCTCCAGAATCCTTCCTATTGACGATTTCTTCAGGGATCGCTATAGCTAGTTGATCTCCATACTTCTCAGCATGGTGATCGAGGAGTTCATTGATTGTGTCATATTCATCGACTGGAGTTAATTTTCTACTACTGGCTTCACCCAAAGTACAAGTGAAGTAATTAAGATCGCCTGGAGCAATGGAAGCCATTGTAAGTAGAGGTGGGATACCCAAAAATGTTGACGAAGCAAAAAAGAGAGAGTTGATGTAACGATTGAGAGAGATTGGAAGAGGAATTACTCTCAGAAGCACTCATAAACAATACATTAGAAGAAGGAACCCACGGCACTGACCGGAGTATCTGGAGGGGAAACCGCATCTTAGAAAAGCCTAAAAAGATAGCAGCTCTGAGCGAAGTCTTGATTGGCAACTTCAAGACTTGATCTTTGACTTGTAAGCTCTTTACTTGTCATTATTTCCAGGGTTTAAAAGTTACTAGATGCGGAATCTAGTGATAGGTCGAAGATATTTGCTAAAACTGCCTTTGTTTACTTAGTCCAAAATGCCAGCGTCATGACTATTTACTAGTGGCAGCTTCATGGTAATGAACAACAGGTACTTATGTGCTTAGTGAGGGGAAGGTTGAACACTAGGGTTTGCCATCTTTCTTGATGGGAATGGTGTAGATATACACCCATTAATAGATGATTGTTCATAGTCGATATGATTAACTTAAAACCTCGAAATTTACGAGGGATGCATTCATTCATTGAGGATGAATTGAATGGAGCTTAATGATCACGTGACTACATTGATTTCTACGGTTAACCATAAGAACATTCATGTACTCACTCCTCGAACGCGAGAGCTCTATTTCTTTTTATTTGGTTCCCTCGATCCTGTATGAACTCAACTTGGGTACGAACTTCTTGACACCTTCAAATAATCCAAGTTTATTATATTTCTAAAAAGGTACGCGACATATTGTTCTTCATTAATGAATGGTTGAATTCCTCATGTAGAGTTTGATATGATACTCTCGATGTCCTTCCTGAGAAAGTCTGGGAAATATATAAACTCGGGATATTGCAGAGGTCTTATGTGTATATCACCACTGTTTAAAAGAAGCTCTCCATTTGATTCTAGTTGAATCAACTTTACTTCAAAGAAGACCATATCACAATTGTGTTTGTTGAACTCTCCCCTTTTTCAATGTACACGTGATCACGTTTTGATATCACACTGAGAGTATCATAACCTACAAGTGTTTGGTTTGCGTCTACTGCAGTGACATGGTATCAAACTCCATGGTACAAAGATACTTCACATATTCGTTCACATTCTGTATAGAATGTCAAGTTTGTTACATCAAGAACCAAATCACTAAGTGTCCTACAGATAGATCTTCTCAGTAATAATTTTCAACCAAACCGTTTTTTAAGCCCAGCCGTTACTATGCCTTCCAATTATTCTTCAGTTCCTCCTCAAGAGGTAACAGGAACAACTCAATTACCTTGTAAGTTTTAGAACATCCCTAAAATTTCCTCTTGCCAACTAACATTCACCAGTATCACGTATCAAGAAGATAATTGGGACTGATCAAGACATAAACATGTGTTCCAACAATGCCGCATTCGTTATTACTCTAGCCACTGTATGTTTTCCATCTCTATCTGATATCCTTCATACAAAAGCTAAGTATGCATTTCAGGAAATGTTCATTCAATACATGGCCGAATCAGGCCACAATGTTGTCAAGTCTGAACGTAAACCTCGTCGTAACATTCAATATCGTGATCTTTGTAAGTCTCTCCTCTCTTCAACTGCTTCATTAAGATTCTCCTTCCACCACCAACTCAATGCCTATCACCAACCCCCTATATGTCCGACTATCCTCTCTCTTCCCCCCCTTCTCTCACCCCCCTTCTCTCACCCCCCTTCTCTCACCCCCCTTCTCTCAACCCCCTTCTCTCAACCCCCTTCTCTCACCCCCCTTCTCTCACCCCCCTTCTCTCACCCCCCTTCTCTCACCCCCCACTAACATCCCCCAGCCTCCGCCGTCTCCCACATCGACAACCTCGAATTTCTCAGCGACATCGTCCCCAAGACCGTCCCCCTCAAACTCGTCAAAGCCAACGCCCACCTAGCCAACAACCTCGCAAAATCCAAATCCACCATCCCCCCCACCAACCCTCCCTTTCCCCAACCCGCCACCTCGTACGCCGGCCCCTCAGCCCCAACCGCAAACCCCAACTCCTTCCCTCAATCCCCCCTCCTCGACACAGCACCTCCCCGCGTCTCCGTCTCCGGCCTATTAGACGACTCCGCCGATGCATCCACTTCCACACCAGCTCTCAACCAAATCCAACCCCAACCCCCATCTCAACCCCAAACTCAAAACAACTCCCCCACCCAAACTACCACCGCCACCACCCCCGCCCACCCCATCACCATCCCCAACGGCTTCACCCCCACCAACAAACCTCAAAAACAGCAAGAACAGCGAAGAGTCAGCACCGCCACCGAAGACGAAGATCCTAATGCGCAATTGCGGATGGAGAGTCAAGCTAATAGCGACGACCACAATGAGGAAGAAGATGATGATGTCGAGATGAGTTAGTCAGTATGACATGTCATGTCATGTCATGGGTTGTGCTTTTCGGGGATTTTTTTTTTGGATTCTCACGTGCATTCCCTTTTCTTTTTTTTTGAGTTTCTTGCACCGGAGATGTGGTTGAGTTGAGATGATAAGGAAGGAGGGAGAGGAGTTTGTATTGTAGACAGGAGGCGATGTAGTTGGTTGAGTGCGCGGGTATGGGAGTACGTATTATAGATATCACAATGCATTGGTTTACAAAGTCAAAAACACAAACAAGGGAACTAGATAAACAATGTAAATAGAAATTGATTTGCAAAGCCGTGGAATTTCCTTCTGTGGAGAGTAGAATGCTATGCTATGCTATGCTATGCTATCCATTCATTGCATTCCATCACATATACACATCAGCAACACCCTCTCACCCAAAACGCCCAGCAATATGCAACCAATATGAAGTACTTTTTCTCTCTCTCCTTTGGATATATCATGATTTAATATCATCCTATTCATATCCTCTCATATCCTTTCATCCCAACGGGACTGGACCTAAAGCGCTTTAACTAGGTAGGTAGGTACGCATTTATTATAACCCCTCCTTGATAGCACCGACATGCAATTTCGTTCCTCTCTTCTCCTCACTTTCTCCCACTCTATTCTTCCATTGGATCATCGCCTTGCGCAGCCGCCGGAACTCTTCCTTCATTCAACTCCTTCTCCAATTTAATAATCTCTTGCAAACTCTTTGCATTCTTGATTAATTCCTCGACCTTCTTTCGTTCGGAATCGGTAAGCTTGACGCGGTAAGACTTGGAACTTGACGATGTGGATGCGCCATTGGTGATGCTGGATGTGTCGAATGTGTGAGATTTAATGCCCATGATCTGTGAGAATGGACATGTTAGTATGGCAGTCTTAGGAGAAGACCAAGAAGAATGTAAGCTTACCTTTGATGCAAGAGCAGATGGTTCTGCAAATGTACCAAATAACTCTCGAGCTCTTTCCCGCTCTACAGCTTTGACTTTCTTGTAATCCAGAAATCGCACATTAGGACATCGAAAGAGAATCCATTCTCTGTAATGCTATTATTCGCACCCATCAATTAGCTTCATCCAACTCCCTTCTTCATTTTCCAACAACATCAAACCAATCCCCTCATTCTCCCCAACACAAAACAAAACAAAAAATAACGCACCTCCTTCCTAGTCACCGGATTCTCCATCAAAACCAAACTCGTCAACCTCGCACACCCAGCCAATCCATCCAAGTCCGCCAACTCAGCTACATTATTACTCGTCAAAACCAACGTGGTCAAATTTGGCAACGAATTCGCCAACGTAGGTGAGATACTCGAGACGCGATTGCGAGCTAGGAGAAGCGTTCTTAAACGAGGACTGAGTGGGAAGTTGCTGAGTAGTTGAATATCATTGTCTGTGAAATCGATTGCGTCGTGTGGCTAAGTTCCTGTTAGTATACTACTTTGCGGGTATGTGAAGCTTGTAAGTTAAAGCTAAAGGCAGAGCCAAAGGAAAAGAACTCGTCTTCCTCCCACCATCCTTCCAATTCCCCTCGACCTTACTCTTACCCTACCACTCCCCTCTCCCAACCCCAAACCAACAAACAACCAAGCCCCAAGAAAACAACAGAAACAAGAAAAGACAATAAAACTCACCCCCGCAACCCCCAAATTTTCCACCGCCGGAATCTTATGACCTGCAAACCACCAAACAAACCAGTATCAACTCAGCTCTTTTCAAAAGTGTAGTATAGGGAGCCTCCCCTCCGTTCTTAACAGGAAAATCAAAGATTTAAAACGCACCTCGAAGATCTAATTCGCGTTCCTTGAGCGGATTGAGATAGGAAAGGGAGGATTGGATTAAGTCGGCTGTGAGACGCATGATTGATTGATGTTTCCAAAGTTAGTCAATAAATTGTTCTGTTGGCGGGATACGAAGAGATGTGAGGAGGATATATGTGAAGGTCGTAGGGTCGTGAGGTGCGTGAATGGGTCGCAAGGCTGATATCATGATGCTCGCAATCTAGAAATTATTTTGGTAAGCTAAGCTTTGATTTCGCGCTAACCGGTTTTCAATTGTCAGCCTTTTGGAGGCACTCGAGAGGCATTCATTCCATTAGGAGGTAGTAGGTGCACACAAGGATTCATTCCATCTGAAATATATGCGATTAATATCAATTCATCCAGGTAAATTATATTACAATCACTTATTACTAGTTATTGTCTAATAGATGCAAGAGCTTATTGCTCAATCTCTATAAGGTTATATCATACATCTCAAAAAATACAATAACCCGATTCCCCTCCTCATTCCCATAGTTGTGTTCACTACCGTTTCCATTCAAATAACTCCGATCCTTCATATATTTTCATAAATCATCCCGACTCACTGGAAGACAAAGATAACTCCTCCTCTATCGACACTAACCACCATTCCATAGGGACTCTCTAACAACGCCACATCCAAAATTGAATCCAAATGCGCCCTCAATAATTGATGTCCTTGTAATGAAATAATCGTACTCCTTGGCGCCTTTCCATTTCCTCTACTGCTTGCTTCAGATCTACCTCCATCATTACCTCTATCTCTTGTCCCAGCATTAGGAGCTGTTGGGGTTTGTCTAGGTACTCGCTCGTGGTTCAATGTAAGTATCGGAGTCGGATGTGAGGAAGTATATGATGGTTTGAGCTCATCAGTCTCTAACCCACTCACAACCATTGAACTTTCTACGCGTGATAAATCCCAGAATCGAATCTTACGGTCTGAACCACCAGTAATAACAAACCCATATTTACCATCACGATTATCATCATTAGCATCCGTACCAGCAATCATAGCACGAATTCCATAATTTGAGACACTGGCTGTTGGTTCGAGGGCCCCTGCAAAGCGACCAAGCATACCTTCTGGACGATCTTCATCAACAGGCCAAGGTTCATAATTCTTTGGCGCCTCTCGACTTGATCCAGATCGATACACTTCTCGACATTGTGTCTTTTCAACATCCCAGACGGTAATTTCTCCTTGTCCACTACCACCAGCAACACATACCCATCTACCTCGACCTCTAGTAGGATGGATTCGAATTCTGTAAATAGATGTGGATCCTGGAACACCCCAAGCCTTTAAACGGACCTTGAAACGTAAATCCCATAGATCCAAGATACCATGTGAAGTTCCTAGTAATAACCAATTACGTTTTTTATCGACACAGAAACATGTTGGAGTGCCGTGATGAACAGGATTCTCTAGAATATAAAGGATTGTCATGGCTCTTAGATCAATAGCTAGTACTCTTGAACGATTCGTAGCGATGAGTAAAATCGAATTCGTTTCTAATTTAAAGTGCTCTGCCCATATAGCAAATTCGTCTTTTGGTAGCTTGTATTCACGTAAGAGGCGAAGTTTACTATATCTTCCCACACCACCACTTTGGATGAAATCAACTTTGACTACGTTGATGCTTCCATCACTTCCACAGCTCACAAATGAATGTGTATGTTCCACAAAGCATAACGCAGTAACTTTGGCATCATCTGCATGTTTGTGCGTCTGTCTGGATCGATGAGCGATATTTCGTTCCAGTCTACCAGTATCCCACACTTTTACGCAACCATCATCTCCACCTGTGAGGAAGAATACATGATCTGGAGCAACAGCTATGTGATGTATTGGTCCAACATGCTCAGCAAAAGTAGCTACAAGACTACCTTCAGGTCTCCAGGGTTTATCCCCAGCTTGATTACTATTCCTATTAATAGCTCGGCGTCGACTCGAAGGAGCAATCATAGGTCCGAATTCGGCGATATCATTAGGGTAATTATCCACATACATGGCATCCAGCATTTTGAGTATGTTTGGATCATTGCCTGAATAAGTATGAGCCGCTCTGAATCGTATTTCATTGTTCGCAGAGGCATCTTGATCTTTTGCCAAATTAATCGACAAAGGTTGAAGAGGTTGTGAGAAAGGTCCTTCAACCTTGCCGAAAGCATTTGTTGAGGTAGTACTTGTCTCGGGAACACTTTTCCCTGGCTCCTTGCGATTCATCAAAGTCATAGCAGAAGACTTATGACGGATACCACGAATAGTATCCCCTGATTCAATAGACATAGCGCCCAGTAGTGACGCGGTTCCATCGTCGCTCATTTGAGCTGTTGTGTCTGAACTTCCAGGACGGACTAGAGATCCTTTTCGTGGTGTCATAGATGACCTTGGAGTTGAGGTATCCGTAGGAGATAAGAATGCAGGTGATAAAGTTGGAGAGTGTGGCTCTAATCCATTAGTAGTAATTGGTAAGCCAGCTTTCGATCTATGACTATTCAATGCAGAGCGTTTCCTTTTAGCGATTGAATCATCAATAGTCATGGAAGCATCAAGTAAAGCGTCGGCTATAGAGTGTTGCTCTCCATTGATCTCTGAACCGTTGTTGATTTTGCGAGGTGGTTCTTCTGTAATCTGTTCATCAAACATCACTGTTTGTGGTGTAATGTTGAAACTTCGGAGATTGATGACATTATTGAGATAGGTTGGATGTGTTGGACCTTCTCTGACTTTGGAAGGTGCAAGGCGCCATATATACTCTCTCAAAGCGATCAGCTTTGCTTCATCTTCGTGACTCATTCCTATGTTTCGTAGTTTTGCCAGCCATTGTTCATCTTCTTCATTCTTTGGTATTCTGGATAAAGCATGATGACCAGACTCTTTAGATGAGACAGTAGGTACAAAAGTGCTTGAACTGAAAGAGAATGTTCGTAACTGATTCACAGGTTTCCAAAATATTCCTCTATCCACTTTATTCGCCCAATTGATAGACATATCAAGGACTGCCCTCGATAGTGGTTTTTTCAAAGCATTAAGTAAAGTGATCTCTGAGTAATCGTTGACACCTGTCTTTAGATATGGACGGACAAGTGGTAAGATGATGCATAAAATATCTGCACTGGACAAAAAAATAGTTGCCGATGAGATAAAATTCACTGCTGCCTCTCTGATCCAAATGTTAGG